CTCTGCGCACCTTAGACACATGCACTCACTCACCTACACAGATATACACACACATTCATGCTACACACATCACAACTTCTGCTACCAGACTCTTATTATGATTACTAAGTACTGCACAATTTAAACACTTGTCCCCCAATCCCCCCTTCCCCAAGACACGTGTAAAAATTGGACTATAAATTGTGCCTTCCTATATTATACTTACGCTGAAATGTTTATTCTATTTTACTGAGCCATTTACTTTATGTTCGTGTTCTTATCTTTTATTATTTCTTATCGCTAGTGCATTGTTGGGAAGGAACCTGCAAGTAAGCATTACTTTGGACGGTGTATACCATGTGTATCCCGTACATACGACTAATACAACTTGAAACTCCTCTGCGACTTAATTCAATGCTTTTCAGCACTGCATCGGATATATCGGCTAAAACAGAGCAGTAGATGTAAAGAGTTCGATTAACTCTGCTTGAGATCTGGAATTTCTATGGGCGCCATGTTGGCACTAACAGTTTCGATGCAATTACTAATGAATGACTGTATCTGCTGAGAATAGCCAACAGACTTGTTTTCATGGAACCTTCTGTAGCAACAGGAAGGACAGTGTTCAACTCGTTTTCTCCAACTAGTCACCAGGTATAACAAATTGAATTTTCAAAATGATCGCTATTAGTTGCCGTCTTAACCTTTTACTCATTTATTTTGTTCTAGCTCTGACGTGTCATATTCTGTTTAAATCCCTCAACACCATGTCTGTATTTTAAAATTGCTATTTAATAAGTGAGTAAAATAGACAGTGTGCTTATCTGCAACAAGGAAGGCCAAATGAACAGTGGGCTATATCAAAGTAGGAAAACACTAGCAAACAGGCAGGCTTTTTAGATATAGAATGTATGTAGTTGATGCTATAAGTGGAGGGGGGAAAGTGTATAGAAATACTATTCTGGCATGTGAAAATCGGTTTGGCACTTTTTATTTACATTCACAGTCCTTAATATACATTAAAACAGATCACAAACATGCTGATGCCCCTTCATTAAGATGTCAAATTGTTATTTTTCAAGCCTGATGACAATATACTAGGTGAATACTTGTTTAACTGTATAGTTTACTGTATACTTTAAATAGTTTGAAAATAATTGTTTCACATTCATAGATCCTGGAGGTCTTTTAGCTGTTTGAAAGGCTCCTATAAGACTCATTCGCAGCAGTTATCACAAATGCATGCTTTTCTGATTGGAATAAAACATTTATATACATTTTTGGCTAAGATGACCTGACAACCCACAACAATCTCATCAATATGTTTGTGATTTGATGCTATTCCTGGAGCAGAAACATTTACATATTTAGTTAATTTTAAAATAAAAAAATCTACATTCAAGATTATGTGATAAGAATTAATTGAATCAAACAAGCATACTGATGATGTATTGATGATGTATCATCATCAGTTATATTATCATTTATAGTGCTTTTCTCAAACTGAAGCACTTTACATTGCATGGGGGTAACTCACCCATCACATCACTTTTAATCTCCCCCTCCCCCCGTCCCACTTCAAAATATCACAGACTTTGCCAGTTCAGTTGCCGCAGACTGCAAACTTCGATCCTGAATATACAGTGGGGTCCGAAATGATTGACACCCTTGATAAAGATGAGCAACAATGACTGTATAAAATAAATAATTCAAATACTGAGTTATATTGTGTACAAAAAAAAAAGGGGGAAATTATTTGTTAAACAAAATATCTTTCTCTGAGCTATTGTGTTAGTATAAAATCATATAATACATTTTTTTCACAAAAAGGTAGGGGTCAAAATTATTGACACCCTTGTTTTCAATACCTTTCAATACCTGACCTTGCGAGGATAACGGCACTGAGAGTTTAAAAAAAATGTTTTATGAGTTGGAGAACAAATTGGGAGGGATCTTAGACCATTGCTCCATACAGAATCCTTCCAAATCCTTGATGTCCTTAGTCTGCGCTTATGGACTTCCCTCTTAAATTCAAACCACAGGTTTTCAAAGGGTTTTAAGTCCGGAGACTGAGATAGCCATTGCAAATTGTTGAATTAACCATTATTCCTTTGTGGATTTTGATGTGTGCTTGGGGTTATTGTCTTGCTGGTAGATCCACTTGCGGCCAAGTTTCATCCTCCTGGCAGAGGCAATCAGGTATTTGGCTAAAATGTCCTGGTACTGGGTAAAGTTCATAATGCAGTTAACCTTAACAGTGTAAGTAAAATAGCCCCATAACATCAAAAATCCACCACAACATTTTACAGTAGGTATGGGGTTCTATTCTGCTTCTTATGCATTTTCATTTCGACGCCAAACCCACCACTGGTGTGCATGGCCAAAGAGATCTATTTTCATGTCATCTGACCAAAGCAATGGTTCCAATCTAAGTGTCAATGCCATTTAGCAAACTCCAGGCTTGGAATCGGTGCTTTGGTCAGATTACATGAAAATAGAGCTCTTTGGCTACGCACACCAGTGGTGGGTTTGGCGTCGAAATGAAAATGCATAAGCAGAAAAGAACCTCATACATAAAATGTTGTGGTGGATCTTTGATGTTATGGGGATATTTTGCTTCCTCTGGTTATCGCTGTATGTCTAATAGATCACTGTATGTGTTTATGTAATGAAAATAATTCCAATATTTAAAAAAATACATTTATTTCCTTGAGCCTCCTTTGGCCCTTAAAATGTTCAGTCTGATAGTGTGGGCGTTAGGAAACAAATGTGAAAATATTGACATACACACCCCTGATTAGCTGATAGGATGTTCTAGAGCCCACCCCTTACCCAGATGAACAGTCATTGGTCTATTATAATCAGATCACATTGTGAAGTCATGATGTGGGCCCAAAGTTCCATCCCACCTGAACAGGCTGAAATTCCAGGATTTTATTTTCAAACAGCTCTTACACAAAAAAGGGAAATCACATTTTAACTGCACGGCCCATTTAAGAAAGTATAGTCCCACTGGCTGTAGTCTCACACTGATGTCTCCACTCCATTCCCACAATACCTCACTAATGTGTGTGTCGAATGAATCAAGAAGATGCATACAGTGGGGGAAAAAAGTATTTAGTCAGCCACCAATTGTGCAAGTTCTCCCACTTAAAAAGATGAGAGGCCTGTAATTTTCATCATAGGTACATGTCAACTATGACAGACAAAATGAGAATTTTTTTTCCAGAAAATCACATTGTAGGATTTTTAATGAATTTATTTGCAAATTATGGTGGAAAATAAGTATTTGGTCAATAACAAAAGTTTCTCAATACTTTGTTATATACCCTTTGTTGGCAATGTCACAGGTCAAACGTTTTCTGTAAGTCTTCACAAGGTTTTCACACACTGTTACTGGTATTTTGGCCCATTCCTCCATGCAGATCTCCTCTAGAGCAGTGATGTTTTGGGGCTGTCGCTGGGCAACACGGACTTTCAACTTCCTCCAAAGATTTTCTATGGGGTTGAGATCTGGAGACTGGCTAGGCCACTCCAGGACCTTGAAATGCTTCTTACGAAGCCACTCCTTCGTTGCCGGGCGGTGTGTTTGGGATCATTGTCATGCTGAAAGACCCAGCCACGTTTCATCTTCAATGCCCTTGCTGATGGGAGGTTTTCACTCAAAATCTCACGATACATGGCCCCATTCATTCTTTCCTTTACACGGATCAGTCGTCCTGGTCCCTTTGCAGAAAAACAGCCCCAAAGCATGATGTTTCCACCCCCATGCTTCACAGTAGATATGGTGTTCTTTGGATGCAACTCAGCATTCTTTGTCCTCCAAACACGACGAGTTGACTTTTTACCAAAAAGTTATATTTTGGTTTCATCTGACCATATGACATTCTCCCAATCCTCTTCTGGATCATCCAAATGCACTCTAGCAAACTTCAGACGGGCCTGGACATGTACTGGCTTAAGTAGGGGGACACTTCTGGCACTGCAGGATTTGAGTCCCTGGCGGCATAGTGTGTTACTGATGGTAGGCTTTGTTACTTTGGTCTCAGCTCTCTGCAGGTCATTCACTAGGTCCCCCCGTGTGGTTCTGGGATTTTTGCTCACCGTTCTTGTGATCATTTTGACCCCACGGGGTGAGATCTTGCGTGGAGCCCCAGTTCGAGGGAGATTATCAGTGGTCTTGTATGTCTTCCATTTCCTAAGAATTGCTCCCACAGTTGATTTCTTCAAACCAAGCTGCTTACCTATTGCAGATTCAGTCTTCCCAGCCTGGTGCAGGTCTACAATTTTGTTTCTGGTGTCCTTTGACAGCTCTTTGGTCTTGGCCATAGTGGAGTTTGGAGTGTGACTGTTTGAGGTTGTGGACAGGTGTCTTTTATACTGATAACAAGTTCAAACAGGTGCCATTAATACAGGTAACGAGTGGAGGACAGAGGAGCCTCTTAAAGAAGAAGTTACAGGTCTGTGAGAGCCAGAAATCTTGCTTGTTTGTAGGTGACCAAATACTTTTTTTCCACCATAATTTGCAAATAAATTCATAAAAAATCCTACAATGTGATTTTCTGGATTCTTCTTCCTCAATTTGTCTGTCATAGTTGACGTGTACCTATGATGAAAATTACAGGCCTCTCTCATCTTTTTAAGTGGGAGAACTTGCACAATTGGTGGCTGACTAAATACTTTTTTTCCCCACTGTATGTCGGTATATTAATTAATTAATTAATTGGGGTTTGTTAAACTATCGGTCAGGACCCAAAGTGGGCCGTGGGCATGTGAGAGGTGGGTTGTTAGTTAATAGAATACACACTGTTTCTTCTTCATTTAGGTCGCTGGAGGATGATTTGGGTCACGGGAGGACGGTAAATGTCTCATTTGGGTCTCGAGCTGAACAGTTTTAATCAATGACTCATGTAGGCTACTTCCCAACTTGACTGTTCCTGTCTTGTACAGCAGCCTCGACTATGAGAAACTTGTGTTGTAAATGAAATGCATCCTTAACATCATTATGGTCCTCCAGTCAGTCACACGTTGGCATCCCTGTGTATAACCACCATGCTAGGCGGTGCCTTCTCCACTCTCTTCCCCCTCAGAGCCAGGGTGAGAAGGTTCCTGATGGACAGCGAGGCTCGGAGCAGCAGCTCCTTGAGTCCGGCCCGGTACTCTTGTCGCATCAGGCAGTACAGCACGGGGTTCAGGCAGCTGTTGGTGTGAGCCAGGCACACAGTCAGAGGGAAGTGTAGTCCTGGGCATTGTAGAAGGCCTTACTGAAGGGCACCAGGTCACATTTTATCACTACTCCCCACAGTGTCAGAGCCTGGTTGGGCAGCCAGCAAAGGAAGAAGGAGAGCACCACGACGGTCACCGAGCAGGTCACTTTGGAGTGGCGCCATTGACGGGACCTCTCGCTCTATGAACTCTCCATGAGCGGTACCTTCTGTGTCTGGTAGAGGCCCAGTAGAACCTGAGAGTCCCAATGACCTGAGGCAGATCCAGAAAACCGGACCAGACACAGCTCGTCATCCGCAGACACCTAGAAACAGCACAAAGATGCACCACAATGGAATTAAGTCTTTGACTTATGTTGTCAATTGATGTGTTTTGTTTCGATGTACACACAAACAGATTTACATGCATTTTAAAATTGGCAAATAAAATCAATCAAACAAACCTGGGCTGTGGTGGAGTAGATGGTGTGGGGCATCGTGACCGCCAGTGACACCACCCAGATGGCAAAACTGGCCCACTTGGCACGTGCCGCAGCCATCAGTGAGGAGGTGAGGGAGCAGTAGCGAGCTACGCTCATGGCCGTCAGGAAGAAGACGCTAGCGTACATGTTCATGGTAGTCACAGAGCTGACAGTCTTACACATGACCCTGCCGAAGGGCCAGCGGAAGTCCAGGGCTGTGTCCAAAGCCCAGAAGGGCAGGGTGAGGACAAACTGGAGGTCAGTCACGGCCAGGCTCCTCACAAAGTAGTCAATAGACGAGTGGTGCAGCTGGTGGCGGGAGTGGAGAAGGAACAGCGCCAGGAGGTTTCCCACCAGCCCCAGAGCACACACCACCAGGTAGACCAGAGCAATGACCACTAACACCTGGAAGAAGGCAACACAGTCAAGAGTCAACTCCTGATACATAATGGCTTTGGACTGTCATTAATTAATAATAATCAAAAAGAAAAAGAATGAAGTTAAACTTAAGTTGATTTCTCCTAACCCACAACAAAATAATCTATTTTATATCAAGATAATCTACCTTTAGGACTTTAAACTGGGATCTATAAAGCTGCAATATGTAACTTTTTGGGCGACCCCACCAAATTCAAATAGAAATGTCAGTTATAGATCTGTCATTCTCATTGAAAGCAAGTCTAAGAAGTGGTAGATCTGTTCTATGTTTGCTATTTCTATGCTTCCCGTTCTTAAGTTTTGTTTTTGCATCTTTTACTTTCGGTTTTGTACACCAGCTTCAAACTAAATACAATATTTGTGGTTATGAAAAATATATTTCACAGAGGTTTAGATGGTAGAATGATTCTCTACACTATAATTGCGTGTTTTGTCACATACACTGAAATTAAGCGAACTATTCGAATTTTAGCAACCAGGAAATGATGGAGCAATTTCTGCATAGTGCATCTTTAATGGGGAAACTGCCACATCCATTTGCGATATTACAACAACAAAGGAGTTACTGAAAACAACAAACATGCTGAGCTACACTCCTCAGCTTGGCAACAAAAACAATAACAATGGTGTGGCGGCCAGTGGCACTGCGGATTCTATCTTTAAGCTTGACAATATATTGTTTGTATTGTTATATTGTTTATATATTGTTTAAAAACAATAAAATTAAATAATTTAATAATTAAATAATTTATCTTGGTAAGACTTCTTGCAAAATATTAGTTAGTGCTAGTCTGGAACAAAAGCCTGCACAACCAGTAGTAGCTCTCCAGGTCCAGAGTTGCAGATCCCTGAGCATCACTCCTTATTGGGCTAGCAGGGCTACTATGAAGTAGAATGAAGTTACACCTGATATAAAGTTAGTTTTGCGTTTGTCACTCTAATGGTTAGGGTTAGGACTCATGTTCGCGCTGTCCCCATACAGCTCCGGAGCAGACTTTGGAGAGGAGATGGAGCCAGCAGTCCAGCGAGAGGTTGTGGAGCGATTCTCCGGACAGGTTAGCCTGCTCTGGGCTCCTCGCGTCCTCCTGACCTCCTCCACACCCACTCAGACCCAGGTGGAGCAAACTGCTGTTACTCTGATGCACAGTTCTTCTCTGTCATTCAGCAGAACACTCAGCATAAAAAGAGGGTCTCACATCAGCCAAAGTGTGAAGTAATGGTACAAACATTTCGAGTTAAGAGTAGCCTCAACATATCCAAATTCCAACCGCACTGTTTTTGTAAGTAGACACATTTTGTGTTTTAGGAAACAATCATTGTTAATAAAGACTCACTTTTTTTTCGTTTCATTTTAAACGTGCTTGTTCAAGTCCGACTTCTTTCTGAATGAGTTGCATCACGCGTCTAGTCTGCGCTTTTTATACCGGTTGAGATGCCATGCTCGGGAAAAGTCTCCGAGAATCCGCGCTGTGCGGTTGCTATCACTTCATCACATGCATAAAATAGCGGGAGAGTAGGGGTGAGAATGTGGAGGAGGGCTGCAACCTGGTCTCAGAGCATTTCGTATTATTCTGTACGTAAATCCGAGACACCACATTTAGTATCATATGTTATGTTTCTTATGGTATGTATTAATTTGTGAATGTCCATCTCCAATTTAGTATGATATGTTACGAATTACAATTCATATTAGATGTTACGAATTTGAAAAATGTACAATATGTTATGAATTTGCAAAATGTTGTTTTTTACGAATCTGCTAAATGTATGATATGTTACACATTTTAGCTAGGTGGCTAACGTTAGCTAGCTGGCTAACGCTAGCTAGGCTAGGGGTTAAGGTTAGGGTTAAGTTTAGGAGTTAGATTAAAGGGTTAGGGGTTAGGGTTAGCTAACATGCTAAGTAGTTGCAAAGTAGCAAGTAGCTGAAAAGTTGCTTAAATGCTAAAGTTGCCCGTAGATCGGTGGGCGTTCATGTTATACGCCCACCCACCCATCCAACCCACCAACTACCCTATTTTCGTTTTTGCCTTAAGTAACCATCTGTCTTATGTAATCATACCAAATGTAACATATCATACTAATTTGAGTGTTCTGGATTTACATTTACTATGTTACGTCTAGTCTATGAGACCAGGCTGGGAGGAGAGAAAGAGAGAGAGGAATGGTCCAGAAAGTGGAGATGGAGAGAATGGGAGAAAGGGAGAGAGAGTGGTTGACTGGAGTGAAAGAGGTAGAGGGAAAGAAAGAGCAAGGAGAAGGGATGGAGAAAAAATATTAAATGTGTGGAGAGCCTCTTTCTGGGATTGCCTGATGATGAAAAGCACTTACTCTCAGACAGAAACTGCTACTTACCTCACTCTGCATGAGGCTGCCCAACCAACCTCCTGTCCATGGAGCACTAGTGCTTTTTAGTCTAGGACTAGGTTTAATCTGTGTCCGGGAAACCGGTCCATAACAGAGGTTTGCAATACATACTGCTCCAAGATGTATGGCAGAGGAGGTGTGTGTGATGTGATTGTTCTGCTGTACTTGGGGACTTTGGTGGGGCAGTGCCTCTGCTCCTAAACTCTGTGTTTGAGGGGTAATCATCATCACAACATCCCAAAACCCCTTTGACCAGTGTTCTTGGATTTTTCTGAGTGCTACTGTTTCTCTGAGTGCTACTGATTTTTAATAACACAGTAGGCCTATGGGGTGCTAAAAGTCGTTATGAATATTCAGTATTCATCATATACAGATGGGGTCATTGAAAGTGTTACCAAAACAAACATCTAATGCAGCCCTGTTTTCACTGCTGGATTAAAACTAGAGCCAAACATCAATCAGAAGATTATAGTATCCTTGCAGCAGCAGAGAGAGAGGCAAAGGATCCCCATTACCACCCACAGGATCTCTAGCCCACTGGGCACAGACGTCTATTCAACGTCTATTCCACATTGGTTCAACGTAATTTCATTGAAATGACGTGGAAACAACGTTGATTCATCCAGTGTGAGCCCAGTGGGGGGTCTCTGAACAGCCTCGGACAGTCAAGTCTTTATTCAAAAACATACATTTACATCTTTCCGTTCACTACATGGAAAACAAACATTTCCTACTCTCCCAAGTACAGACTGAAGCAGTGCAAGGGAAACCTTTTTAAATAGTAATTTTTATTGAGTTCAGACACGTCAATGAAACTTAGATAATAAATTATATGAAAGTACAGTAAGTGAAGTAAGTCAAAAAAATTAAGTCAGTAAATGAATATCTGCCGCCATTGTTCAGTAGCCACATTATTCAGTAAATCTATATATTAACTGATCTCTATAATACAGTACATAAAACCATATATTAGGGTTCAGCAATTCATATGATTTGGGATGTATCTTTGTCTCCCTCCATTTAGTATGATATATTAGGTTTCGTTACATATCATAATAAATGGAGGTACACACATTTTTGTAAAATATCCTACGTATGGCTCTGATTTCAGACTGGGTTCACAGGTCGAAATATGTAGCAGTACAGTTCTCTAAGGCAGTGGCCACCAACCCTGATCCTGGGGAGCTAACAAGTGTACAGTTTTGTTCCAGCCCAGCACTAAGACACCTGATTTAACTACTCATTAAGACCTTGATTAGCTGAATCAGGTTTG